AGGGAAGGGGAGGGGAGAGAGGAGAGGGGAGAGGAGAGGAGAGGAGAGGAAATAAAGGAAGGGAAGAGAAGGGAAAAGAAGAGGGTACATATGTGAAGTGATGGGTATATTAATTAACTTGATGGGGGATCCTTTCACAATGTATACAACCTATATTTAATTATCACATTGTACACTTTATTTTATTTTAAACTTTATTGTTTTGTGTGTTTTTTAAAATATACTTTATTTATTTTTTACAGAGAGGAAGGGAGGATAGAGAGTTAGAAACATCAATGAGAGAGAAACATCGATCAGCTGCCTTCTGCACACCCCTACTGGGGATGTGCCCGCAACCAAGGTACATACATGCCCGTGACCGGAATCAAACCTGGGACCCTTCAGTCCACAGGCCGACCCTCCATCCACTGAGCCAAACCGGTTGCAGTGGGCGGCAAACTCATTAGTCAACGGAGCCAAATATCAACAGTACAATGATTGAAATTTCTTTTGAGAGCCAAATTTTTTAAACTTAAACTATATAGGTAGGTACATTGTTATTAACTTAATTAGGGTACTTCTAAGGCTTAGGAAGAGCCACACTCAAGGGGGCAAAGAGCCGCATGTGGCTCGCGAGCCGCAGTTTGCCGACCACTGGGTTAGGGCTAAACTTTATTGTTAAAAGTATTACATATGTCCTCTTTTTCCCCCATTGACCTCTCCCACCCTGTACCCACACCCCACCCCAGGCCTTCACCACCCTATTGTCTGTGTCCATGGGTTATGCATATACACATATGAGTTCATTGATTGATCTCCCCCTGACCCTTCCACCTTCCCTCTGAGGCTTGACAGTCTGTTTGATGCTTCTAAGTCTCCGGGTCTGTTTTTATTCATCAGTTTATGTTGTTCATTAGATTCCACATAATGAGTGAGATAATGTGATACTTATTTTTCTCTGACTTGCTTATTTCGCTCAGCATAATGCTTTCCAGGTCCATCCATACTATTGTAAATAGAAAGAGTTCTTTCTTTTTTAAGCTGTGTAGTATCCCATTGTATAGATATATCACAGTTTTTTTAATCCACTCATCTGCTGATGGGCACTTAGGCTGTTTCCAAATCTTAGCTATTGTAAATTGCGCTGCTGTGAACATAGAAGTCTAGTACCTATCTCACACCATACATTGTTATTAACATACTAGAGACCCAGTGCACGAAATTCGTGCATGGGTAGGGTCCCTAGGCCTGGCCAGCCTGGCGCCGCCCGCTCCAGTTGGACGATCACCCTCTGTGGGGCAACTGGTGGGGCAATTGGAGGGCCCCCACTGGTACCCACCTTGGCTGGCCTGGGGCCTACGGGCTGGGGGCAGCTCCTGCATTGAACGTCTGCCCCCTGGTGGTCAGTGTGTGTCATAGTGACCGGTCGTTCCTCTGTTCAGTTGAATTGCATATTAGGCTTTTATTACATAGGATTATTGACTATATTCTCTATGTTGTGCATTATATCCATGATTATTTTTATAACTGGCAATCTGTACATCTTAATCCATTACCCTTTTTCACTTATCCCCAACCCCCTCTCATCTGACAACCCCCTCTCATCAATATCAAAATATTCTCTGTATCTATTACTTTGTTTCTGTTTTGTTTGTTTATGTATTTTGTTTTTTATATTCCACATACAGGTGAAATCACATGGTGTTTCTCTTAGCGTAATACCCTCTATGTCCATCCATGTTGTTGCAAATGGTAAGATTTCATTCTTTTTATGGCCTAGTAATATTCCATTGTATATATGTATCACATCTTTATCCAATCATGTATTGATGGACACTTAGGTTGCTTCCATATCTTGGCTATCTATAATAATAAAAGCATAATATGCTAATTAGACCAGACAGCCGAACAACCTTCCAGACGTCATTCCGGACACAACCACGTTGGCAGGGGCAAGGCAGAGGTGGTTAGGGGCAATCAAGCAGGCAGGCGAGCAGTTAGGGGCATCAGGCAGGCAGGCGAGTGGTTTGGGGCTATGAGGCAGGCAGCAGAGTGGTTAGGGGTGATCAGGTAGGCAAGCGGTTAGGAGCCAGCGGTCCCGGATTGCGAGAGGATGCAGGCTAGGCTGAGGGACCCCTCCCCATGCACAAATTTTGTGCACCAGGCCTCTAGTTGTAAATAATGCTTCAATGAACATAGGGGTGTATATGTCTTTTCAAATTATTATTTTGGATTTTTTTGAATATATACCCAGAAGTGGAATTGTTGGGTCATAAGATAGTTCTATTTTTATTTTTTAGAAGTACTTCTATACTGTTTTCAATAGTAGCTGCACCAATTTGTATTCTCACCAACAGTACACAAGGGTTCCCTTTTCTCCATATCCATGACAATACTTGTTTATTGACTTATTGGTGATAGACATTCTGACAGATGTGAGGTGATACTAATTTGCCGACCATAGTGTTGTGATTTTAATTTGCATTTCCCTGATGATGAGTATGTCGAGCATCTTTTCATATGTCTATTGAAAGAATCTGCTGGTGCTTAACATGATATCTTACATCTTATTAGTCATAAAAGACCTTTATTTCTCTAGCAAGACTTCTCAACCAGCTTTTTAAGGACAAGACCTGTATCTATCTATGCTAGCTGCTGTGAGTGTACCCTGCTGGTATTCACAAAGTAAATGGTAAAAAAATGCTAGATATTGATACTGTGGACAGGTTTTATTTACTCATGATTTTTTAATAAAATTTTATATTATTTTGCAAACTTTTACTGAAAAGATGTGTTTATATTTGAAACAAGAGTGACCCTACCTTTTAACCTGCCATGAGGATTGTTTTCTCTTATCCAATTGAACTTTTTATTCATTTAATGTAACTGAGAAGTAGGAATCATAATTAATATATTTATTTCTTCTTATATTTGTTAAATTATGAAAATTTCTTCTTGCTGGAACCATATTACTCTAAAATTTTGATATTGTTTGTAGTGATTCTCCTACAAAATTTAATTCTGATTTTTGATAGGAGAGATACATTGAAAATAACAGCTTCAATTTGAACTCTATTTAGGAAAAATAATGTTTATGCAAAATTCTTTTTAAAATACTTTAAAAATTATATTTTTATTTTTTATCAAAATATTCTAGGTAAAAAGATAATGTGTTTCTGTAGATCTAAGTATTTTTTTATGAAGATACAAATAAAAATTCTGTTTAAACCAGTTTTTCTCAAAAGGGAGTGGCATATCAGTACAAACAGAATCCCTCCCTGCTTTCATTGTAAAATTATTATTACTTATCCTCCATATTACCACACTCCTGCTGAAATCTTTCATATTGAATAGAGCATTATTTTTCAGTATAATCATATTGGGAAGTACTGCAGTAGTCTCCTATTATGTCTTTGTCTCTTTGTCCTGTGTTTGTAGGAAGCTTTTTCCTGGGAGTAGAGGAAAAGATGTTTGTTATTATCAGATTTTTCTAGACATGTATGGAGAACTACAGGGATCTGGGCATTTGCTGAAGCATAGTTCTCTTGTCTCAAGTACTCATCAGCTCTTGCCTTTTTTAATCCTAATGTTCTCCATCTCTCTCTCCAGAGAATCTTGCTGCCTGCAATCTACCACTTTCAATATGATCTTTCCTCTTTTCTGTGCCTATAGCCTCAGTTGAATCTCCCCCACTTTTGCACATGGTAAGTGTGCTGTAGATCTCAAGAAAGCATTAAGTCTTACTGCAACCAATGTGTCCCGGGGTGGATAGAATGCGGAGAGCTCTAGCACCTTGTTTCTCCAGGAGTGTTCAGTTGAGCCTAGAGAGCCTCTGGAATTAATGTGAAATAAGGTCTAGGTAGGCACACTGTGAGTAAGAATAAATGGGCCTGCCATAAAAGAAACATGAAGACCATTTGAAAAATCTTTTTGCATCCCTATTGTTATCACTTCAGTCTATATGTACCACTGTTGTATTGGTATATTGTGATGTGGAAGAAGGCATGATGTACAAGCACGACACATATATTTTTAGATTGAAGCTTGTATTGGTTACCATGACTGCAAAAGCCACAGCTCCTTCTAAATACCTTTGTCGTGATCTCACTCATATGTATATGTGGAATCTAATGAACAAAATAAACTGATGAACAAAATAGATCCAGAGACATAGAAGCAAGGAACAGACTGATGAATCTCAGAGGGAAGGGGGCCAGGAAGAGATTAACCAAAGAACTTATTATGCATATATGCATAACCTATGAACACAGACAATAGTGCGGTGAAGGCCTGGGGGGCTGGAGGGGGCGGGGGGCGAGCCAGCACTGGGTGGAGGGGGTCAATGGGGAAGAAAGGGGGACATTTGTAATACTTTCAACAATAAATTTAAAAAAATAAAAAAATAATAAAATACCTTTGTTGTACTTAATTTTTCCTCACTTAGTTAGATCATATAGTTAGTGTCATTAATTTGGAATGGAAAGTACCCACCCATTATTAACACTGCCTCTTATAAGTTTCAAAATTATTAACCATGCAATATTAAGAAGTAAAATTCTTTTATTACTTTCATTAAGAGGACATTTTGAGATAAGCTCAGAGTGAAAATGAAGAGTGACTAGTAATGTCAACTAGGAAAATAAAATTTTAAAAAAATTATTTCCTGGGATTTACCATATCAGGTATTAGGTTTGGACTTTGGGACCAAAGTCAAGCATATCTTTGGATTTGCAGTTTTATATAACTCAGTAATCATTATTTAAGTCATATTCACATGCAATTACTTTGAGAAATCTTAGTACTTTACTGAAGATGTAACCTTTTGTATTGTACAGTAGAATAAGGCAAATTATCTTCATGGATTTTGCTTAAGATTTCAAATACTGTGTCATTTTTTCCAATAAATGTAACCTTCATAATACATAAAGAATATTGTTTTGTGTTTTTCTCTTAAGTTTAAAAATTCAGTTATCTTTTCTAAGCATGTTTAAGAAAGTCAATGAATTTTATCTTATAAATTCTGAGGGAAATAACCACAAACTTCATACAAGAATAATGAAAAGATTTTATTAGATAACTTTTGCATATTGGTGCCGTTATAATTTCCAGATTTGCCTCTTAAGACCTACTTTTAAAAATCTGCAATGGATACTACTTCCCAAAGTGTATATCATAAATGATTTTTCTTAATCATAAAATGATATGATTTTTCTTTCAGAAAGTGTTTGGGCAAACTAAATTTCAGTAGTATTTTTCTGAAATAGCATTTTCAGATTTCACTATGTATCTGTATTCGTTTTTTTCTTTTTTGTTTTTTTTTTGTTTTTATTTGTTTGTTTTTGTTAATCCTCACCCAAGGATATTTTTCTATTGATTTTTTTTTAAGGGGAGTGGAAGGGATGGGGAGAGACAGAGAGAAACATCGATGTGAGAGAGACACATCGATCAATTGCCTCCCACACGAGTCCCAACCAGGGCTACGGATCCAGCCTACAACTGAGGTATGTGCCCTTGACCAGAATTGAACCCAGGACCCTTTAGTCCGCAGGCTGATGCTCTATCCACTGAGCTAAACCAGCTAGGGTTGTATTCATTTTTTTATTTGCAGGGTGCTTTGCCATCATCTATTTGTACCATACCCATGTGATAGACAGGAATTTATTCAAAAAATGTAGAATGGCTATATTTATTTCTTACTTAGAGTTCTTCAGGATAGATGTGTTTAAGAACTAATTAAATTTTTAAATAAATAAATAAAAAGGGCTGTGTGGCAGACCTCAGGTCACATAAGTAGGAAATTACTTCAAAACAAAAAAGGCCATAAAGAAACATTAAACTATACTCAGACGAAAAATTAGTAAATATGTTAATAATTTTGGACTATTACAGATGTTTTATATGCTTTTCTGATATATATGATGTGTAAAGATATAACATATTCTACTTATATGATACATTATATATTTTTATAACTATATTCAAAATGAAGTTTCCAAATATTAAAAAATATAATTACAAATATTATATAATTATATAATACTAGGGGCCCAGTGCACAAATTCATGCACCTTGAAAGGAACTGTGGGCCACGAGGCTGCAGTGGGCACAGAGGCGGGTCTCAGCCCATCCTTTGTGCCCCCGCCTGGCCCCTCCCACCACGACCCCTGGTCCCCTGTCTGCCAACAGCCCCACTCCTGCCGGTGCTCCCATGCACTGATGGTGCTGGACCCGCTCGCACCCACTGATGGCGCGGAGTGATTGGGGCCGGCGCCCAGCAGGTGCGAGCGACAGTTGCTACCCCATTTGCCCCTCAGGAGCAGGGCAAGGTGGAGAAGCCCTGAGGGGCGATCGGGGCCAGTAGCTGCTGCTCGCACCCACTGACAATGATGGGGGCCGGTGCGAGCAGGGCCGGCTGGTGCTGGAAGCAGGTGTGAGCACCAGGCGGGACTGCAGCCCGTAGGAGCAAAGAATTTTCAGTAACCACCAGAGGCTAGCCCTGATGACAGCAACTGGCGCCCCACCTTGGTCTGGTGCCCCCGCTCACCTGCTCAACCATCCCACCGCGGCCGATGCCCACCATGTTCTGCACTCTGACACCTGCTGCCAAAGCGCTCCATGTTTCACACATGCCCCCTGGTGGTCAGCGCACGTCATAGCGACCGGTTGTTCCACCGTTTGGTCTATTTGCATATTAGGGTGTGTGTGTATGTGTGTGTGTTATATATATACTAAAATATGGATAAGACAAATAA